ACAGTTACAAATAAAGGATCCTTTTAAAGTTGTAATAATTATAGCCGTTGGATTTTTATCCAACGGCTCATGATAACTGGTCAGAAGGATCCTCTCCATTAGCTTAGGAGAGAATCCAAATCCCAGAAGACCGACCTAGCATCATCTCTGGATTCATGAGAATTATAGATAATCGTGAATCGTGTTTTTTAATCATATATCATACGATTAGTTTTTGTTAATTACTATTTATGTTTAATTTTTAAATAAAAATATTTAAAATAATTTCTGATCGTATAAAATACAATGAACGGACACGATTTACAGATTTTCAGAATCTTCACAACTAGAATCCGGCGAGCATCCAAACTCCAGAAGACCGAAACGTAGTACAATCTGTGGGCCATTCCGGTTTCAACCGGGGTTTAGTAAAGGACTATTAATAATGGCAGTCAACGGTCTTTAATTTGTTTTGTCCATAATATTACGAGGAAGCAAATAAAAGTGCATGATATTTTTGGTTGAAAAAGATACTTTGTTTATGAAGCCCTAAACAAAGAATTAATCCGAACGAATTGAGCCCAAAAAGCCCAAAGAGAATTGGTTTTCAAGTATTTCACTTGGTAAACAGTGATATTCACACTCTCGTTTTTTATTATGCATATTTTTACTTGTTTATGTTCATTAATTACTAATGATTTGTTTAATTCAAGAGAATTGTTATTAGCACTCTAAAAATCTCATTCTACACTCCAAACTTTCTATATTAGGAAAGAAAAATACACTTGTGAGAAGTGTACAATGAGATTTTTAGAATGTCAATAACACTTTCCTAATGGTGGAAAAGAATTCATAAGGAAAAAAGGAGAATGTGAAGATGCGGGTTCTTGTGATGACGCTTGAACTCGCACTGAAAACGAAAGGGGAACAAACAGAGGAGGATCCACCTTAGGGCAAGGTGTATCAGTTGACCCAGCTCAGCTTAGAAAATCCCTCATGAAAAAGTTGGGTCTTGCCCTTTAAAAGTATAAGATGCCCTTAAAAGTTGTCATCTAGATGCTCGATGAATTGACTTTATGAGCACGGTAGGATAGCTGCTAACCTCATGTCTTTGTATGTGTTGCTATGGGTATATGTCAATAGGCTCACTAGGCATATGTTGTCGTTTGTCGACATGCTCGCTCAAAAGCTATTGACATAAGTCAACATGCTCACTTGAAAGTTGTTGGCATACATCGACAAACATGCAATATAACTTCGCAAATACCATCATACCCACCAAAACTCGATGAAATACCAATTTGCAAGCTACTTCGTCTAGATCATATTTCTTGGATACTCTATTGGGTGCAAAGGGATGCCCAACTTGTGGCTGCCCGCTTCTTTGAAATACGCCAAACCGTCTCACGGATCTAACACCCATCGTGCGCAAGTGCTTGGTTGCTTTGCTTTGTGCGGTAAGTTTTGTGTGGCCCATACTCAAAAGGAAAGCTGAACTTTCCTTGCACGTAATGGTTTAATTTGTTTACGTAAATGGAGTTATTACCTTTAATTCCAGGTGGTAATTAATTCGTATCCGCTCTTTATTCTTTATTAGCCTCTTGCTACATACTTACGTGTCTAGCAATTAACTTTTTTTCTTTCTTATTTTTCCCCCTTTTTTAACTTATTTTAGATGTTAATTTTTTATTAAACTAAATTTTGAAAAATAATGAACGTAACCATCCATATTCTTATTATGTAGGTTTTTTTTGTGATTTTTATTTTTTATTTTTCAAATCTTAGTAAAAGAAGGGTGAGAAGTTTCACCATTTTAACCTTTCCTTTTATATATAGAGGTTTAGATATCCTACCCATGTATAGGAGTCCAGTGCACCCTTATAACTTCTTCCTAAGCTCTACAACATTATTCTACAATTCCTCAATCTTCAGACAATGGTGCCCTCAAAATTTCATGTAAGTACTCTTCTTTTCCACAAATGATTTCAATCCTATTTTGTGTGTGTGTTAATTTGCTTGTTTTTTGGGGTTAAACTTTCAACTTTTAGCGGTGTCATTTTCATTTGTCAAATTTGAAAGTGACGTCCCAGTGTTTCAACACCGATATTGCTCCCAACCTGAATTATTTTAAAAGACTACAGTGTAATTAGGGATGAAACCATGTATGATATGCTGTAATTTGTTTTTATCAATTTTCCCAATAGGGAATTTTCAAAATCATTCCCACTTTTTAAGTTCAATATTATATTTTAGTCTAATCTAAATTACTGGGATGAGGACGCTCTTGCCACCGGTCCAGTTTGTTACATATTTTGTTTAGAATGCCATATTTTATTGACAAATTTATGTTGTTTTTAACAATTACAGGTTGCTTCTGCGATTATTGCTGTGTTGGGATTACTCTTCCTAACAGCGGCAGAATGTCGAAAACCGATTTCGAACACGGTCAAGTACTCGGCCATTAACTGTAGAAAACACAGTGCTCTTTTGACTGACTTTGGAGCCGTTGGCGACGGAGAAACTTCCAACACAAAGGCCTTCAAGGCGGCCGTCGGTCATCTAAGCCAGTTGGCATCTGACGGCGGAGCGCAGCTTATTGTGCCGCCAGGGAGGTGGCTTACCGGGAGCTTCAACCTTACCAGCCACTTCACTCTCTTCCTCCACAAGGATGCCGTTATTCTTGCAACTCAGGTTTGAATGTGTTGTCTTTGTTTTGTGTGATATTTCTTCAGTTGTTTTTCTTTTGGTATATATATTTTGGGCTTGTTTGACATAAGTAAGGTTCTAAACCGTGCTAGTCGAAAGACGGATAGGGTTTCACGCCTAGGTTTTAAGCGGAGTTTGGCGCTAGTCGGGTGACCGGTAGATAATGATTGTATATTTCTCATATTAAACACAGGATGAGTCAGAGTGGCCTCATCTTCCGGCGCTGCCTTCATACGGGAAAGGCAGAGATGGCCCCGGTGAAAGGTTTAGCAGTCTCATCTTCGGAACAAACCTCACCGACGTCGTAATTACCGGTCACAACGGCACCATCGACGGCCAAGGTGCTTCCTGGTGGGCAAAGTTCAAACAAGGTCTGTTGAACAGCACCCGACCATACGTGATCGAGCTCATGTACTCTGATCAGATCCAAATTTCTAATCTCACTTTGGTCAACTCTCCTTCGTGGTTTGTCCATCCCATATACAGCAGGTAATTTGACTCTTTTTTTTAACTAACGCACGACAGCCGCATCAACATGTAGTAGTGTTACTCACGTCACAATGATGGCTACTCTCAAAAATTCCTTGCACTATACATGCATATATATATTATATGTGGATCCGTGACATTATTGTTTTTACACAATTTTTGACACAAGTTTTTGTGAGGTTTAATTTGTAATGTATTGTAGCAATCCGAACGGTCTTCTCTCAAAGATTATGTCTATAGTCAACCTAAAATCACCAAAATCTGAAAATATATCATCAATGGATTAAGGGTTAAGAGTTTCTTTGTAAAATCTTATGCGTTCATTTTTTTTTTGCTATAAATGAATGTTTTAATGGTTTTGGATTTGTCTAATTTTGTGCATAGATGATCTATGAATGATGTTTAAAGAGATATGGTTTGGGTGGTTAAAATATATTACGGAGTGGATACCCAAAAACCTAAATGTGTTTTTACCATTAATCTTGTTCTAATTTTGCAGCAATATAACAATTCAAGGGCTCACAATCCTTGCACCCATTGAGGTTCCCAACACCGATGGGATTAACCCAGGTTTGTTATTTTTGCTGCCAGTTAATTTGTTCTTGTTGTTGCTCATTAGTGCTTAATTGGGAAATGAACATGATTAAAAGGCGACTCTAAGTCAACAAGGCTCATTGTTTTGCAAGGCTCAGGGAAAACGTCTATCATACGCTGCCTTATCCTTGTTTTGCAAAGAGACTGTTTCCACGTCTCGAACCCGTGACCTTTCTGTTACTTAACTATAAATCTCTATGCTTCCTTCAGATTCTTGTTCACAAATTAGAATTGAAGACTGCTACATAGTCTCTGGAGATGACTGCATTGCGGTAAAGAGTGGATTTGATGAATACGGAATCAAGGTCGGAATCCCGACGGAGCACCTTGTGATCAGAAGGCTCACTTGCATTTCCCCTTCCAGTGCCACCATTGCCCTCGGCAGTGAAATGTCAGGCGGAATCCGCGACGTTAGAGCTGAGGACATCACAGCCATTGATACTGAATCAAGTGTGAGGATCAAAACTGCCGTCGGAAGAGGAGGTTATGTCAAAGACATTTATGTGAGAAGAATGACCTTGAAGACGATGAAGTACGTTTTCTGGATGACCGGCTCTTATGGATCGCACCCTGACCCCGGCTTTGATCCTAAAGCGTTGCCTGAGATTACAAACATCAACTACAAGCAGGTTGTGGCAGAAAATGTTACTATTTCTGCAAGGCTGGACGGAATCCATGATGATCCCTTCAAGGGAATTTGCATTTCGAACGTGACCATCACACTGGCTGAGAAGGCGAAGAAATTGCAATGGAACTGCACTGATGTCGAGGGAATCACAAGCAACGTGACCCCAAAGGCGTGCGATTTGTTGCCCGAGCAGAAAGAAGCGGTTGATTGTGCTTTCCCTGAGGATAGGCTGGCGATCGAGGATGTTGAGTTGGTGACTTGCTCTGCAAGCACCCCCTTCTTCCGAGTGTGTTAGATGGGAATTGTTATACGTTTAAGAACATTGCAGTATGAATTTTAATAAATGTAACAAAAATTTCGTTATTTCTATTTCCATAGGCTATGTATGCTCCATCGTTTCACTAATTAATCACCGCAAGCAGTCTTAATTGGTCGAAAACTAAGCAAATTAACAATCTCAACTGCATAAAATAAATGTACAAGAAATCTTCGTTCTACGATGATTTTCGATTATTCCATTTATCTTATGGATGAACGTCCCTGATTGATGAATGTTATGTCTGGTGAGGAATCTCATGAGAGTTTGAGGATTATTCGTTTAACTTCAACGGATTTTCTTGTGCCAATTTTGCAGATGCTTTGTTCTTGCAGAAGCTTTCTTCTCTGCAAATAGAACGAGAAGAAGTTTGTCTCTTAAGCCATTGGTCCTTTTCATTGCAGAGAAGGAAAAAATAAACACATCATATTCAGAAGTTAGGCAGAAATTAAATTCCGAATCTACGAATTTAGGCTAATTGAAAGGAAATACCTGTTCTTGAATCGCAGAGCATCAAGTCACGGAGCTCAAGCATGTGAATAACTTCTCCCATTTGAGGCCTATGTTCTGAATCGGGATCAACACAACGAAGAGCAACCAAAAGTACCCTTTTGAGCTCCTTCGGAGATGGCTTCTCTGGCATTTTAGGGTCAACCACGCAAGCAATTTTCTGTCCCGCAACCATGGACTTTAACCATTCAACCACATATGGCTGCAAGCGAATAGTCATTGTTTAAGTATTCGCATATTGAACCGAAAAAACAAACCCTTACATCTTACATGTTTCGAAATTAAGAACTTATACATACTTGGGGTTGACTGCGATCTATAGGTCTCCTCCCCGTTATGATCTCCATTACGAGTACTCCAAAGCTATAAATATCGGACTTCTCAGTGAATTCACCGGTAGAAGCATATTCCGGAGCAATGTAACTGAACTTCCATGCAATTCGAGAACGATAATAAAATCATTGACAACTGATATTGATAACGTTCCAATAGCGAACATCAGCAGGCATATATGCATACAGATTTTTCCAAGAGCAAAGAAACTAACCCTAATGATTCCATTATAGTGATTCCCCACTCGGGATTGTAGAGCTTAGCTAGGCCAAAATCCGAGACCTTAGGATCCCATTGGTGATCGAGCAGCACATTGCTAGATATTAGGCTTCTGTGTAGGATTTTCGGTTCTATATCCTCGTGCAGGTAGGCCAATCTGCAGAAACACAGTCACTTCAAATTATATAACCACAAATTTGTCTAATCAGATAAAATTAGATACGCAGGATCTCACCCTTTTGCGATTCCTCGGATTATTTTCAACCGAATGCTCCACGTTAGAGGGCTGACTAGTTTCGAGCATTCGTGAAGCCAGTGGTGCAGACTTTTATTATCTACATACTCATGCACAAGCAACCTGGTAGAAGAAAAATCAAATCATTGGCTGCCTTTCGAACATCTAAAATTGTGCAATGACGAAAAATTTGCATACCTGTAGGCTCTTTCAATGTGGTATCCAAGCAACTTGACAAGATTTTTGTGCCTCACAAACCCAATTGCCTCCATTTCTGCGATGAAGTCGTCGACTTGGAATCTGTTCATTGAACATTTTAGCATTCACTTTAATTGTTGAAAATATATGGATTCGATGAACTTGAGTACCTGTCACTCACTAGCCTTTTCACTGCCACGAGCGTATTATCGAACAGAATGCCATGATAAACAATTCCATAGTCCCCATTTCCAATCAGATTTTGTTTCGAAAATCCATTCGTTGCAACCTCAAGCTCCTTGAGACTAAACTTTTTGCCCCTCCACACATCCTGAACCATTTGTGAATACATAGAAACCGGTCCCAACTCCATCACATTACTATTTCGGATTCTCCCACTAGCCTGAGGAGATGCGAACTGACCGGAAAACACACGCCCGTGCTGCTGCAGCTTCCCGCTGTTCATCTCAATATCAGACATGTTACGCGAAAGCAGCCTCCGGTCCAGGGATGAATTACAATAACCATTGTGTGTAGTTTTGGAAACAATGGGAGTCGGGAGACGGAAGTTGGATTTGGAGGATTTTCGTCGACGGTAATGGATGACACAGAGCAGAGAGATGATGAGAGTGATAACTGTGAATAGAGCTATGAAGATTACAAGCAAAACCCATGATTTGACACCGAAAAATGAGGTCGGCTTCAAGAGCTTTTTCTTGAGAGACAAGGCACTGGAGGACATATTCACAGAGAGAGAGAGAGAGAGAGAGAGAGAGCAAATGGAGATGGAGCTTGGTAAATAGCAGTAAAAAGAGATTTGACACAGGAAGTTGGGATCATCCAAATCACTTGGGTAAAATTCAAATATTTTCAGGTACCAACTAACCAGCGGGAGCAGCGAGAAAAATCTGCAAGGATTTGGTACCAGATTTTCTTCCCAACAAATCAACCAATCGTCTTCGGCCACTTCAACAGTGCCCATTTCTATTTGGCTTAAATGTCATAACGGTGTTTGTGTTTCATCCCAATCGGTCATTTTAGTTCCTGTGTTTTTAACTTGGCCAAATTGATCCTCATGTTTGTCTCTGTTAGCCAATCTTAAACGATCTATTAAGGGACCGTTAAAATTGATATGTGTGTCTTGCATTTGAGAGGACAAAAATGTAAAGCCATAACCCCATCATTGCAAGGACAAAATTGTAATGCCATGAACCCCGTCAACTCCGTCTTGGGTAGTCTTTCAAATCCTTTGTTTATTTTCCAAGAGAATTGTAATCCTAAAAGCTATCGTGCAACTAATTTGCAATACTCTAGGCATGAAAATATTTTGAGGCATCGTCGTCGATTATCTGATTTCGCTGGCATTTAATGGATCTACAATCAAATTATATTTTTGTCTCAATTATAATGATCTTTTAACAAGTTGGCTAACCGAAGTAAACACGGAGAACAATTTAGCCAAATTGAAAACACTGGACCAAATTGACAGATAGAATAAAATAACTAAACCATTTTAACATTTAAGCCGCTCAATGGGTTTTTTTCTTTTTCTGAATTTCGTTCTTCTCGAAATTTCTCCAAATCAATCTGTATTCCGGCGCCACCCACCCCGTTCTAGTTCCATCCGATGAGTCCTTGGACGGACAACCATGTGATCCGGCGTCCAGAACAAAGAACTCCCCTCATTGATAGTTTGATACTTCCCCGCCATACCAATAAATCGACACGAATACTTTTCTTTTTGTACAAATTTTGCTTCTTTCTCTACTTCCACATTTGTTTGTGACCAAATTCATGATACAAGTAAGGGTTTTTACAATAAAAAACTGTTAGAATTAGAATTCCAATACCACAAATTGGACAACAATAGCCGAGTATCTTCAAAAATTGAATGGCCTCCGCATGCAAAGCCGCTCAATGGCCCCGTCTTTGAACTGTTTCTTCATCGGATGTAGCTTGATCTCGTAAAGCTTTGGCCATAGTTTTCCGGTCACTGCCAACACACAACACGTATCAATAGAAGTGACTGCACAACACAATTCTATCCTACTAAAAGAGTAAATATCAATTCTTCCTAACAATGGCGATCGCTTCCAGTTCAACATAAGCTTACCAAATATACGGTTTTTGTCACTGTCCCATGCAATGCCGTTTAGAACATCTATACCCTGTATAAGTATGTCAAATTGCTAATGAGTAAATTATTAGTTTGAGATGTATGGTTCTGAAAACAAACGAGCTGTCACTTTCAAGGAAGCCATACAGAACATACGTTGTATACCAATCGACATTTAAAAAAAAAAAAAAAAGCAAAACCGTGAAAACATAAACGGAGAACTTATTGTTTTTGGTTCAAGGGCTTACATGATTCCCAGAAGCTAGTAAGCCTTCCCTGTAAGTGATAATATAACATATAAGCCATTAAATGAGATTCCCGAGAAAAACGAACAGAACATGATAAGTCTCATAATTAGACTAAAAACTAATGATTAAATAAAGGAAAATGAATGCACAGAAAAACCTTAATTTTGGAAGGACGATCCATCCAAGCACCCTACCATCTTCATGCGAGATTCTAGCTATGCAATCTGTCTACATAAGTAGGATCACAAAACTTTAAGAAGCCAATCCAAGGCAGAATAAAGCATTCTAATACGCGTTTTTTTTTTTTTTTTTTTTCCATCTGCGCATCACAACTGATCATTTCTATTGTCCACACGTAGCAGAGATACTGCTCTAAGGAAGTCACGTCATGTCATATGCCAATGCTCCATTGACATGGATTTATATGTGCTGATGAAAAGACTGACCTGATATACATTTGCCCAAACTTCGCCGTTTATAAACTCTAACTCGTTGAGGTTGTGCACTTCTTGATCTTTATATTTGACCATATGTCTGTCCGTAACTGCATGAGATATGACACAACTATTATTATAAATAAAATACACAATCATCAAGAAAATTGTCCTACCGCTAATTTGGAGGAGATAAAAAGATCAGGTACGGGCTAACAATGAAACAATTATACATACAGGAAAAAACAAAGAAACCTTTTAATGTTAGAGGGTCAATCTTGTACAACACTGAACTGCCATCACTTCCAAACAACACTTTTCCATCAGTAGCCAGTCCCCAGCCATCTTTCATCTGATGCGTGAACTTCTCAAACTGCGTTGAGCAAAATGTAAAGCAAGTTATTAAGGATTAAGACCTACATTTCACTGGAATATCAATTCTCAATTGAAGGTCAAAATTACTAGAATTGATTGATGCTGATCAATTTAGCATCCGAGAAATTGAATATGTATGCACTGAACCTAAAAATACTGCAGATGCAGAATCGTATAATGAAACTATACATCGATAAAAGTATTTTCAAAAGGAATAAAGGAAAAGCACAAACTTTGGTTAAATTTTTTCGGTCATATATGAAACCAATTTTCCTCAACCAAGTTACTTGGAATAGCCTACAAAAGAACATATAAATGACTAGATCAGCACTCTTGGACTCCTTAGAGGTCAATCATATACTAAAAATACAGATCGAATGATCAAAACACCAAATCCGCTTTCACTTCACTATTAAATAAATCAACGGAAAAACGTAAGTAACATGATTTTCTTTTCAGACCTTTCACCAAGGAGAGTTAATCCCTCCCCAAAGTAAGAAGGGTCCATCTTCTGAAGTGCTTCAACCTGTACGTATCAAAAAACAAAACCGGATTTACGCATAAACAATCTCAATTTAAGCAATGTCACAACCAAGCATCAAACTAAATCGATTTCCCAGCAATAACAGATAACCTGACCAGAAATTTTCATATGTCACTTCCGATAAAACTTGTTACCCACTTAACTACAAATCAAGAAGATCAATTGAAAGTCTTTACCTTTCCGGTTCGAATCGCAACCTTGCGCACTGATGACTGAAACAATTGAAAGAAAAGATGAATCCAAATCACATAAACAAAATGTATGTCGAATTTAACACCAGCAACCAACAGGGCGCAAACTCACCTTCCCGTAAAGTCCAGTCGACTCGAACAAGCTGTCATTTCCAGCATAAAGTAGCCCCTGAAGAACAAACAATCCAACAAAAACCCTAAAATTCCAAAAATTGAAAACCAATTTCCAAATCCAAAATCTAAAAATTAAGCATCGAAGATTACCTGGGTGAAGGCGTCGGGATCGTGAGGGAACTCATGGACGACCTCGATCGAGTAAAGTCCAGGGGAGACGTCGGCGTAGATGACGGTGCTCCACATGTTCGACGAAATGCCGAGGAGAATAAGAACGCCGAGCACGAGAAAAGCGGCGAGGATCAGAGAGGTTTTCCTGTAGTTCGGAAGCGACCTGGGCCGAGAGGCCGCCATGGGAGCGTTATTGTATGGCCTGCGGTCGGACCGCTTATTGTTATTCAGCTTCTTCCTAAGCGAACCGGTGGCCATGAACCGGTGGATCAGAAAGGGGGTTTGAGAACTTGAGGTAAAAGGCTGTGCTCGAGTGGTTTGCCGGTGGAAACGGCAGGCTTGCGGTAACACGCGCCGAAATATTTATTAGGCCAAATTTGTAGACTAATGGAAGAAAAAAAAGGTAATGTTAGGGAGATAATATTTGTAGATTAAATTTTACAAATTAAATCACATAGAAGTTGATTAGATTATGACTTAAGCGTTGACAGACGTGTTTATTTCAATTGGTATCACATTATTTAGTTTACAAATTTAGTCTTCCTAACATTACCCATAAAAAAATAACTCCCGTGGTAAAAAAATTTGTTAAATCCCAGTCAATATTATGTACGTAAGCTTTATGTGTGAGATTAACTTTGTAATTTAAATGTCGTCCTGTATCGTGAAAGCGATCCTTTCCTGCTCTGTTATTGTAAATTTCGATTAACTATGAGCTGAGAACAGTTTAATCAAATTATCATCCCCTTTCCCTTCCAATGAAATTCAAAACCTAACGCCCCTTATTTGTTTACATCAACGAGGGAAAATCATGACATGATAAAATTAATCTCATGCATAAGGCTCACTCACATGCATGCTATTAGCGGAAAGTTAACGGAAAATTTTAATTTTGTTAGCTAACAGACTTTATCACAAAAATTTCAATCCTAATTTTCTTACCGCAATCACTATCTTTCGAAACCCCCTGCCACAATAACCAAATACCCAATTCAACATATCTATTATTTTTGGTAGTTTATATTCATTAATTTTAAGGGAACTATTCATTTTACTATCTATTTTGTCCTTATCGTTAAAACTCAAAGTTTTGAAACCATTTTTCATTAATTTTTCTCCATTTTAAACTATTTATTTCGAATACAAATTTTGATGAATTGGTAGGATCAAGTTAACGGATCGGGTTGAAAATACCAGGTCTAGCCATTAGCCCGTTTAGCCCTCGAAGGTGCGGGAGAGCCCGCGATGACGTCATATAAAAGCGGTTTTTCTTGGGTAGGAACGTTCCTGAGCAATCGACAAAACATAACGAAGCAGAACATTCTCGATTTCACATTCCCCCAAATAAAACCAACCCCAAACGACGCCGTAAAACCATCAAATCCCAACATTCTCCCTGAAACGGCAGCGTTTTGGACCCCAACATACGCGGGAGATTATACAAGTCGAGAAAAGAGTAGAAGCATCCAGAACCAGAGTCCTCTTCCTTATAAGAGCCTCCTCAGTCCCTCCCCCAACCATCAGACAATCGCAATCGTCAATCTCTTTCTTGCTTTCTTTCAATCGCGACGCTTCGAATTTTCTCGCAAACAAGCTCGAATTTTCTCTCGCTTTCTTGCATTTTCTCGGAAAACTTGATCGATGGCCGACGTTCAGATGCACGACGCTGAGACCTTCGCCTTCCAGGCCGAGATCAACCAGCTTCTGAGCTTGATCATCAACACTTTCTACAGCAACAAGGAGATCTTCCTTCGTGAGCTCATCAGCAATTCATCTGATGTGAGTCTCTCCTCTCCGTTTCTTGCATGTTTTCGTTTCGATTCACCGTATAAATTTGTACGATTTTCCTCCCCAATTTTCCGATAAATCGCTGTGTTGGCGTTTAAAACCCTGATTTTCGAAGTATAATACGTTCTGTGACAATGTAGTATTGGTTTTTGCTCTTTAATTTACAACTAATATTGATTTGGTTTCATTTTTTTCCACAATTTAATGATTAATCACTATGTTTTGTGGTCAATAATCTTGTTTCTGGATTAAAATTTGTTTCCGCGATAAAGTGTGATCTGGAATTTGTAGGATTTTGAGATTGATTGATTTTTGTTTTTCTCTTAGGCTTTGGACAAAATTCGTTTCGAGAGCCTCACAGACAAAAGCAAGCTCGATGCTCAGCCGGAGCTTTTTATCAGGCTGGTGCCTGACAAGGCTAACAAGACCCTCTCAATCATTGACAGTGGCATCGGCATGACCAAAGCAGGTATGTATTTGTGTAAATTGCACTTCCTTACTTATCTTATCGATCTGTTTGGCTTTCGAGAAAATCCAAGAAAATCCATTAGCATATACCTTTTGATTAGTAAAATTGTGCATTCTGTATTTAAGCTGGCTCCCCTGTTTATATGTATTGTATGATTGTTTCTGTAGACGCTTACAATTGTTCAAAAATCAGAACTTTGGTTATGGAATGCTTAACTAATTATTCTTGGCGTTTTGTTAATTACGTAGTCATCGTTTATGATTATGTTAATAAGCTGTGAATCTGATTGCAATTGGTTTCTGTAGATTTGGTGAACAACTTGGGTACAATTGCAAGGTCTGGAACCAAAGAATTCATGGAGGCATTGCAAGCCGGAGCCGATGTGAGCATGATTGGTCAGTTTGGTGTCGGTTTCTACTCGGCCTATCTCGTTGCTGAGAAGGTCATTGTGACCACCAAGCACAATGACGACGAGCAGTACATCTGGGAGTCACAGGCTGGTGGTTCCTTCACTGTCACAAGGGATGTCAATGGCGAACCGCTCGGCAGGGGCACCAAGATCACCCTCTTCCTCAAGGAGGATCAGGTAAAGAATTGAGCCAATGTTTTAAGTCTTTAATTATATAATTAAGAAGAAGAGTTGGGTATTAATTCGTTTTTGTGATTGTGATCAGTTGGAGTATTTGGAAGAGAGGAGGGTCAAGGATCTTGTGAAGAAGCACTCTGAGTTCATCAGCTATCCAATCTATCTCTGGACCGAGAAGACTACCGAGAAGGAGATCAGTGACGACGAAGACGAAGATACCAAGAAGGAAGAGGAAGGAGATGTTGAGGAGGTTGATGAGGACAAGGAGAAGACATCAAAGAAGAAGAAGATCAAGGAGGTTTCTCACGAGTGGCAGCTCATCAACAAGCAGAAACCCATCTGGCTCCGAAAGCCCGAAGAAATCACCAAGGAGGAGTACGCTGCCTTCTACAAGAGCTTGACCAATGACTGGGAGGAGCACCTTGCTGTCAAGCATTTCTCAGTCGAAGGCCAGCTCGAATTCAAGGCCATCCTCTTCGTCCCGAAGAGGGCTCCTTTCGATCTTTTCGACACTAGGAAGAAGATGAACAACATCAAGCTCTATGTCAGGAGGGTGTTCATCATGGACAATTGCGAGGAGCTGATTCCGGAGTACCTCGGATTCGTGAAGGGTGTCGTCGATTCGGATGATTTGCCTCTCAACATCTCTCGTGAGACGCTGCAACAGAACAAGATTTTGAAGGTGATCAGGAAGAACCTTGTGAAGAAATGTATTGAGATGTTCAATGAGATTACTGAGAACAAAGAGGATTACGCCAAGTTCTACGAAGCCTTCTCCAAGAATTTGAAATTGGGCATCCATGAGGACAGCCAGAACAGAGCCAAATTGGCCGATCTCCTCCGCTACCACTCGACCAAGAGCGGTGACGAGGTGACAAGCCTGAAGGACTACGTGACCAGAATGAAGGAGGGTCAGAAGGACATTTACTACATCACCGGAGAATCGAAGAAGGCGGTGGAGAACTCTCCGTTCTTGGAGCGCCTGAAGAAGAAGGGCTACGAAGTTCTTTACATGGTGGATGCCATTGACGAATATGCCGTCGGACAATTGAAGGAATACGACGGCAAGAAGCTGGTGTCCGCCACCAAGGAGGGTCTCAAACTCGATGACGAGACAGAGGAAGAGAAGAAGGCAAAAGAGGAGAAGAAGAAGTCATTTGAGAACCTCTGCAAGACAATGAAGGACATTCTGGGAGACAGGGTCGAGAAGGTGGTGGTTTCCGACAGGATTGTCGACTCGCCCTGCTGCTTGGTGACCGGAGAATACGGGTGGACGGCCAACATGGAGAGGATCATGAAGGCGCAGGCGCTGCGGGACAACAGCATGAGCTCCTACATGTCGAGCAAGAAGACGATGGAGATCAACCCGGACAACGGAATCATGGAGGAGCTGAGGAAGAGGGCGGAGGCTGACAAGAATGACAAATCCGTGAAGGACCTCGTGCTGCTGCTGTTCGAGACTGCTCTGCTGACCTCCGGCTTCAGCCTGGATGACCCCAACACTTTCGCGGCGAGAATTCACCGGATGTTGAAGCTGGGGCTGAGCATTGAGGAGGAGGAGATCGGCGGCGATGATACTGACATGCCTGCTCTGGAGGAGGACGGTGCTGAGGAGAGCAAGATGGAGGAGGTGGACTAAGCCAGTTTCTGCGTTTTGGAGTCAATTGGGATGTCATTTGAGTTTGTGGATATTTCGGGTATTTTGGTTTACCTAATTGTTGGTAGGTGTCGCGGTCTTATTGGATGAAAGTTGTCCCCGTGGTGTGTCAATCTTGTAGTGTCTTTTAATTTTGTGTTGTCAGTTTTCAGTCCGTGTCAAAACTTGATGGTGGTTAATTCTGAAACTCGATAATGTTAATATAATTTTGAGTTTCTCATATTTTTTGTGCTTTTTCTTTTTCACTTGTATTGTTACCTACTCTCCTTGGCTTTAGGTTAAAAATCGATTTGGGTTTGGGTTGAGTTCGGGGTTTCAACTTATTACATGAGAGATTCGAGTTGGTCAAGTTAGGTTTGGACGAGTTTTTACTTGTTTCGATCAGCTCAATGGCTCAATGAAACTAAAATAGGTTATTAGGTTATTAGGTTTTAGGGACTCGGTGTCGGTGAGAAAGTTACATAATTAAATATTTTTTTTTTGAAGTTTAAAAAACAAAGTGTTTTATGTAAAAAACAAGTTTATTATAAAAAATACATAAAATGCTTTTCAAGTTTAAAAATAATTTCATCAAAAATGGCTTCATTAATTTTAAAAATCCTTTCAAACAAACTGTTTAAAATTGGATTGAGTTGAGAGCGACTGAGTTCCACAGCCCTGTAATGTGCAAATACGTCATTTGCTGGCTTAATCTAATGTAATATGCGACATGTCGTACTCTAGTTTTGGGCCCAAGCAACATGTCCAATTATCATGTTGTCGTTTGTTTATGCCTTGGACTGACATTAGAAGGCCACATGAATTTGATGGTAGGCGAGGCCCAGGGAACGCTTGCTTGGGGCGCACGTTTTCTCTGCTCGGGGGCGGAGGGTGGGGATGTAATTTCCATGAAACGTCATGTTCTACCAGTCAATTAACTCGATTTGAATTTTTACAGTCCTTTTGGTACAGCCTGTCACTTTCCGGCTACCTTTTCAGTGTACAATTTTCAATTATGCAGTGATTGTTTCCCCTGCGGAACGAGAATCCCCGGATCTTCATCTCGAAAATTCTTTCATCATATATTGTGTGGTTAATTTTCGTCAGATACTATTTATATTTTATTTTAAATAAAAAGATTTACAATAAATTATAGTCACACGATATAAGAGAACAATTGTAATTGGAGAATTTTCGGAATCCTCATTCTCCCCTGCAACCACGTTTCGTCTTATTTATTTGACGGGGAACAATAAGTTGCAGGTCTCCATCAACCTTCCCAAAAATGGCAAATGCCTTCATACTTTCTACCACTCCAATTAAGGTAAAAACTCTATGGTTAGTATTGGTTAAACAAAAATATTGGTTAAGTTTTTTTATTTTATTTTATTTTTTTATAACTTCCGTAAGGCCAAAATTAGGTAGTTTGCTTGCAAAGTTGCAAGAGTGAAGGAAAGGCAACTCGAATAAGTAAACAATCGGTAACAAGTAGTTCCGAAATAAAAAGAGTACAAGTGAGCATACGATTTCATGTAAATTTCCGTCTTTATTGCGTTCAATTTTTATTAAAGAAAATTGTTTATAAAAAATGAAACCATCGATAAATGAAATTATTATGTTTTCGGGTTGATCAAGAAAATATTTGATGATTGTCTAATTAGACGAGCTCTCATATAAATTAAGTACCATTTGTAATTAGGTTGAATCATCACACACAAAATTTACGTTTTGTGGAAAATGTTGTACAAATGACGTGGTTAGGATTTTTTCCCACTTGGCACATATTTTTTTGTTTATTTTTCAATGGATCCGGCCAAATCGGAGTTTTGGACAAGGACATATTTGGGCGCTGCAATGCTCCTCAAGGGGCCAACCAATGTGGTCTTCCCATGTCACCAAGTCAAATACCCAACCAGGTCAAACAGATTCAACTCGGGCAACTTCGGCGTTTCTGTCCCACGTGGCAAGCCCCCGTCAAAGCTACACTATGTACGTCCTCACCCGCTCCGCAGCGGATTATTCTCCCGCAAAACTTGTATGCGTACATTATGCATATTTCCCCTATTGGCGATAGCTCTGCAGAAAGGCAACACAAACCAGGTAGTGCTCATCATAATCTTCTCTCTCAAGAATTTTCTCTCACTTTCTCGCCAACCAAACACTCATTTCGCCAAACCCTAAGATATTTTCCCGGAAAATTTTGCACACGAAGAGTTTCATACTTCACTGGAAACTCTGATTTCGTCAGCATTGTCAAAGTTTTGCTTTCTTTTTTTTTTTTGTAATTATTTCCTTAATTTTCTAGTAATTTTTTGCTTCTTATTTCTCTGTCCGTACAGAGAAACACAGAGTATTGAAGATTTTGCATATTTTTGCATCTTGATCTTTGAAGGTTTGTGGAGGAGGCAGAAAATCTGCAGTTGATTTGAAGTGACTGGTTAAAATGCCGGATTTTCCCGGGAAAATGAGCTCGGAAAGTGAGGACAAGGGTCGACTTCCGCACTCTGAATCTGACGCACAAGACCTCGCCAAGTAATCTAATATCGCTTTTTAAGTATTCTTTGCATTATTATAATCTTTTGAGCTGATCTTCCTAATAAAATATTCAATATGCTACTTTTACTGTTATATTGTTATTTTGCTGTTTGGATACCGAGAAAATGGAGGAAGTGAATTAATCCTGCTCAAATTTTCTGTTTGGTTACCGAGAAAATATTCTCGTTTTTGTGATTTTGTTTTTACTGAAGTCACTAAACCTGCTTAAATGCCGTGATATTAGCCTAATTAGCTGATAACTTGTTTTTTATTTTCTGAATTTTATTCAGACATTCAAGGATTACATATAGTAGGGATATTTTGTTCTCTCTAGCAAATGTGGATGCAAGCATAAAACTTCCGAGTGGGATCGAATCTTCGATTTTAAGGTACAATACTTAATGCTTGGTTGTTTACATATTTTTCGAAATTATTCTGTGTATAGCTAGCTATTGGTTCGTGCTCTTATGCTTTTACTTTGATGATTGTCCTGGAACAGTGAACTTTATTCTGTGTGTCCTCGTTCGTCACAACCTTCTCGTGATTCAGGTGTGTAGTTTATGGTTTCCTAACACTGTTTTTAGCCCTCCGCATTCTGCGAACTGTTCTCTCTGTATTTGGAGAATACTCTTGCATTTTGATTCTGTTTACAATGAGCGTCCATGTGAAAGATGGCATGACAACGTACATAAATGACATGTTTGTTGCAAAACTCAGAATATCGTGGACTTCTGGGAAACGGGCACGAACTGGGAGTATATGGACGCTTTCCTGGGGATTCTGCTTCCATGTTGCAAAACAGTCCTCACCTACTCCATAAGAGCAAAGAACCATATCGTCCTCGACAACTCTATAAGGTCCGATTGATAACTTTCTTATTCTATTTCAAACTACGGCATTAGCCAAGCCTGTATGATGTCTTTAATTAAGTAATTCTCATTAGCCATTTTTGGTCCTTATATATTTGCATGGATTTAGAAGGTGTTGCTAAAGACATCTACTTAAAAGTTTTAATTTATAACCTTTCAGGCAGTGAATCGTTTGGGGACAAACCCTTGGAATTCGTACAATGATGAGACTTTTGGTTCTTCCGAGTGTCCAAGTCAGAAGGAAGAAGAGGAGGGAAACATTACAAGAGGTGCGACGATCTCCTTGTGCTATTGCATTTAAAAATACTGGAAGTTTTGGGTTGTAGTTATGTAGTGCATTCTTGCCTTTTTAGTTTGCTTCTTCGATAGATTACTGAAGAAGTTTCCTAATGCAAATGTAAACTACTGACCATCAGTTTTGTTTGGTGGCAGAAGCACATGAAAAAGCCGTCCAAGAGAAGCAAACTCAAAATTCAAACGAGCATGACGAAACTTCCAAATTTGGCTTGTCTCTTGAGGATTCTACTAACAGTACGAGAAACAAATGTGAAACATCAGAGGAACATGTAGTATCCCCTGCTTCACCTGTCAATTCTTCCAACAGTGCATCACAACAAACTCCTGTATCTGGACAAGAATTATCCCCAGGTCTCCTGGCCATATCCGTTGACGAGGATACTGAAGCAAAATTCTTAATTGATTCGATCATACCAGAGGTATGCGTGATGCTTAACTAACTTATTAGTCTAAATTTGAACATCATTTTTCTGTCTCACCCCTTTGTTAAATGTCTTGCCCGCAGCATTCTGATCTGACCACAATTCACCCCGAGGACCCTGAAATCTGTTGTTCTAAATTTGTTCACCAGTTTCATGTTACAGGTAGAGTTGCAAATGTTGATTGTTCTTTAGTAGCTTAATATTTTGTGGAAATTGTGGTTTCAACTGAACATTTTGACCTCTGTCCATTAAATTTTAACTTGCATTAGCTGCTGAAATATGGAGAGAAGCTAATGTTTTTTTGCATTTCTCCAGAGAAAACGCCTAGCTATGGCATATCTTGCTGTGAACGGTCTGAATTTATAGCTCATGAAGTTTCAGAGGACCTGACTCAAGAACCATCATACGGTGGTTCCGGAGAGGGATTGCAATCAACTGATGCATCTTCTTTCATTCAACAAGGTTCTGTTGAAAGGTCAGGAAAGAATGGCATTTCAGAACCGTGCAATTTGCCACTTCCAATTGCAGATAAATATGTCTTTCCTTCAACCACTGAAGAATATGAACTCATTTCAATGGATGGGGAAGACAGCTTGTCCTCAAGCTCTGGTGAACAAAGTAAGGGCAGGGAAACTCAGTTAGTCTCTGATGATTTTGTAGAAAAACTCAGATTGGGTGTTCAATTTGACCCGGGATCAGAATCTATAGCTTATGGAGTGTCAAAGGACTTGACCCGAGAACCATCATATGATACAGTTTCTGGGAAGGGATTGCAATCAACTGATGCAACTTCTTTAATTCAGCAAAGCTCTTTAGAAAGGTCGGCAAGGAATGATGTTTCAGAACCATGCAAGTTCCCACTTCCTATTGACGAATATGCACTCATTTGGCTGGATTGTGAAAATATGCTGTTTTCAAGCTCTGGTGAGAAAAGTAAGAGCAGGGAAAGTCGGTTGGCCTCTAATGATTTGCTCGAAAAAATGAGATCCGGTGTTCCATTTGACCCAGGGTTGATACACAATCCTGTCAGCTGCATTGATGATCTGGAGAGTTTTCCCATTGAGCTTCTTTTGCCCGATGAGGACAGCCTAATTACAGCGGATGACTTCAAGTTTACACCCGAAAAGGACAATAACACAATTGAAGGTAGTCCAGTCAAAGCTGATGGGGTAAACTCAAGTTCACCGTTTGCTATTTCCACGAATCTAACAGGCTTGAATATTTTCAAAGATGAAAAATCTACTCAACGGAGTTCAGAAGATTCCACTTCCTTCTGTAATTCGTATAATGTTGTCACTGGCTTGGGGACTTACAGTAACAGTCAAGAACTACAAGCATACAGAAGCCCTGCAACATTTCATCGGGTACGAACCATACAATCAAGACAGACGAAGCAAACATCTTTTTGTCCATTAGATTCTCATCCAGCTCAAGCTCGCAAGGCCTCCGTCCCATCCCACCATCCTTTCTCTACTAATATACTCCCCAGCACTGTCCATCACTCCCTTGCAAAACAACACCAGCAACTGCTGCAGATGCACGTTCCAGGAAGGATTCCACAACACCAACTTAGTGGGTGTCCCGGAGGTGCAATGACTCATTGTCCTTGTGATCAATCTCGTTACTTGCAGGAGTTCGGCCCTACTCAAGATTTTCCTTTGAACTACCAGCCACCAAGTCATGGATCTTTCGAAATGCCAGGTCTAGGTACGATGTGGGAAGTTAGTTAATCTGATATTTTGGCATCGAATCTCTTTCGAGCTTTCTACCTGCTGTCATAATTCGGAAAAGTATGATCCAGTAGTAATATTTGTTTCCGTTGCTTTTGGTGTTTTCAGGGTTTCGTGTCTATGGGAGCACCGATGATCTGACTTTCAACACCCCTCTGCAAGAAACTCAGCGCAAGGCGGGGACAGGCTTCTACCTTGGCCGGCCATACTCGGACAACCTTTGAGAAACAAAGCGGTTAACGAACATCTTTACGGCATCAGCTTATACGTTGATTCTACCAATCTGTAGATGATGCGACTGTAAATATTTCGGTGTTCACTTCAAGTTTGACTATTAGTTTCTACTGAAATATGACTCTGTACAAGGAAAGCAACGACGCGAAAAAGGCGAAAATAGAACAGCAGCTTAAGAAGCTTAAAGAAAAGGGGGAGAAAAGTTATCTTTACGATTCTGGCTCGATTTTGCTTGTTAAAATTTTATGTTAGGTACTTGCTTTACTGTATTCTGTTGTGACAACCATTTCAAGTTGAACCGAAAACTGCCGGAGAATGGTTCGAGAGCCAGATGAATGACCAGGGATCGCGCCCAAGCCGCAAGGGCTTCTGGCGCGATTATTGTACACAAAAAACCGAGATTACAGTACACAGAAAGTCGGACGCATCCAATTTCAAGAGGAATTCAAACAGGCATGCAAACACCATGCCAACATCGCATAATCAACAACGAAAACTTGAATACAACGGGATGTACAAAATAACTTGAACTAACTATACCGAAACCCGTTACTTATATCTTGATGTATACAACCACAGCAAAATGCCATACAAGTGACATGTTTTGCGGTCGACGAGCTCACTACACTTACAACGCAGTATCACGAAGAGTCAATACCTAGATGAAACCTGACGCTTTCTAATAGTTGCCGTTTCATCTGCTGGATGCCAAGACCAGTTGGGCAAAGATTACATTTGAAATTCAAGCACCGCCAACGGGATGAGAAGAAAGCTTCCAAGCTCCAGAACTACCACTTAAGAAACTTTCTCGTGTTGATTGTCACAACGGCTTTTAGTTTCATCACTGAGATTCCCTGTATCCGCATCCATCTTGTGGGATGAAAGCAACTGTCTCTGGATCCAATTTAAAAGTTCATCAATATACTTGCTTTTAAGAGATCAACTAAATAAACTATAGCTTGTTATGATAAATCTTGCTCCAATAGTAAAAGCAAAGCTAAGAATAAATCAGAGGTTAGTGGAAGGGAAATTTACATGATCCTCGAAATCAGGATTGGTCAAATTCATGGACAGGTTTCGCATCAACAGTAACACCTGAAGAGGAGCCAAAGAAAAATAATAAGATCACAAGCCAATTACAATTACAAAAGAAAATTGTAAATCTATACGAGGCAGTAACCGAACACTAGTTTAGATAACAAACAAATATATAGACTACACTCAAAACTTAAAAGTGATTGCACATGAGGTCAGAAGGGAGAAAAGTACCGTTTCAACATCTATCGGATCCATCTTCTTCAGATTCTGCATATGACCTGTAACATTGGGGTCAAAGACGCTGCCAATGAATCCGTATACTTGAGTAAAGTCGGGAAGAACTGCAGAAAACAAGTAAGTGTCACATTCATGGAAAAACACTTTTTTCTAGCTATAAATTTGTAATCCATAGCTCAGGCCACGGCACACAGCAAACAAAACGGGTGACATACAAATTCAAGAGTTGCAACTGTGCATTGCTAATAAAAATCCAGATTCATTACTGGTTCCAACTGTGACAAGCCGTTAGACATGTAGTCTTATCCAGAGAAGAGAGTACATAAATAGTGCAATTCCTCGTCTATGACACATACAAAATGAAAACCAAGGCCATGACGACAAAGATGTGCACTTTTCCGGTGTTTAACAGAACAAATGAAGGAAACATACACATAGCTGTGTTTATCTCCTAAAAGTTTGATACATTGAGTATCCAATTACACGTTGAAACAGAAAACCTGTGCACACATACAAGAATGAAATTCCATGTTCTTGCCACATTATATCCCACTTCAAGGTGACAGAGTTCAAATTCAAGATCAAAGAATTAGAATCATTATGTGACTAAAGTTGTCGGGTGAGAAAAAAACTGCAAACAGGAAGACTGAAGCCTCACCTCTCAATGCATGGCTATGGTTCACTTGATCAGTTGTTCCACCAACTGGTTGAGCTTTAGGGGTGCTTTCTGGGGTGCTGCAACTGTTGTTCGGCACAGTTGCTGGCCCTGAAACAACCACCACATGAAAAAGAAATCATCAAATTTGTGAACGACAGCATTAATGTACACTGAGATCAAGTCATTGTGATGAATTAAACTATTTAATAGTCGCACCTTTGGACTCGTGAGATGGATTGGCTGTTTGCACAGAACCATTAGTCCAAGAAGTGGCTACAGGGATGGGACTCATTAGCATTGATGATGAATCTGGCCTTTGATTAAACCCAGATTCAAGTAAAGCAGATGAAGACTGACATGACACAGATACCGGCGGAAGTGCCAAAGCTGGAAAACATAGCACATATGAGCAAGGGTTGTATAGACTTTGTCATATGAAAAACAGGATACACAAAACAGAAACCATTCACACCATTTTTTGAAGCTTTTTGAGGATACGGATGAGCAGCTTTCCTTTTTGGCCTAGGGGGAGGTAGATGCTCGCTTGTCCCATTCTTTTGAACCTTTAGAAAATACTTCTGTGCATGACTACGTATCTGCGAAAAGAATCCTTCTTATGAGTAAGGGAGTTCATTATTTCCTAATTGATGAATTTGTAGACATAAGACTAAACCAAAAGCATAAGTTGGTGATAATTGAAACTCAAGCAGTCTTCCTCTTTGCATAGGAAACTATAGAACGAATCAAGAAAACTAACCTGTATGACTGTCTTTGACCCAATGAAAGCCTCAATCTTTTTCCAATCGCGATCGAAGCTGAATACAACAGAGGGTACATTAACAAAATTAGGGAATAACCCAAAAATTTATACCAAATTGAGCTAAAACTCAAATGGGCTGACCATCATAACAAATAATAATACAAATCATTATTGAGAAAATCAATTGCCACTAAAATCCTACTCTTTTTCCACATTCCCGAAACTTCTATCTTCTTTCTTTCCTACTAAAATCCTACTGTTTCTCTACAACCAAACAAATCCTACTCTTTTTCCCACTTAAGTCCTACACTTTCTCAACAACCAAACAAGTCCTTACAAACCTCAAAACACAAACAAAATTTATACCATTTCTTTCCCCCACATTTTAAACCCAATTCAAAACTAAATTCCTACTCTTTTTCCACATTCCTGAAACTTCTTGTTTTTTCTTCCTTTCCTAAATTTTCTCAGCAACCAAACAAATCCTACAAATTTTAAAACCCAATTCAACACTAAATTCCTACCCTTTTTCCACATTCCTGAAACTTCTCGTTTTTTCTTCCCTTCCTAAATTTTCTCAGCAACCAAACAAATCTTACAAATTTCAACACACAAAATCTACACCATTTTTTCCCCACATTTCAACACCCAATTCGGAACTACAACTCTGTCCCCCTAAATTCATATGTAACATATACAGAATTGAAGAATTAAGAGAATTTAACAAAAAAATAAACAAAAAAATAATTAAAGAAATTAGGAGAATTTAAATTTACAGCTGGAGGGCTTCGAGGAACTTGTCGTGCTCCGGTTCGCTCCAGCTCTCTCTGGACTTGGTAATAGTGTAGGGCTTCCGAATCTTCTTGCTGAGATCCTCCGCCGAAGACGACGTCGTTGACGCCGTCGCAGTGACCGAGGCGAACGGCCCGAGTCCGCCCAACGCCATGCCGTTTACGTCCGGATCCAAGTACAAGCCCTCTGGCAGGTTCGGGTTTTTGGATACCATAAATTGCGGAATAGTCGGATTCGGGTTTTTTTGATGAAAGAAGCCGCGGCTCTTCTGGAGGCGGCGGAAATTTTATATAAGGACTCGGGGATTGTTGGATGCGGCGGAGATTTAGGTGGGTGTGCAGCTGGCCAATAGTAACTCGCCACGTTTACGGTCGTCAGATTGACTGATTGGTCCTTTCCAATTTTAGGAAAATTTGGGAAATAAGATTAATATATATATATATATATATATTATTAATAATGAGAAAAAGAAGGTGTAAAACTATTATAATAATTTAAGAAAAAAAGTGTTACGAAACGCATGAAAAATTCAATAACTTAACATGAATAATCACCATCGTGAACACAACCAACATGCTCAATAGTTCATGAGAAACAAAATTAGGATTAGAGGTGTTGGAGACTTCATTAGAAAAAGAAGAAACGAGAGAGGAGATGAGGCGCGGGAAAGGGATCGGCAAGAAGGAGGAGATGAAAGAGAAGAAACAGAGGGGTGAAGGGGAAAGGAGGAGGGCATAGGGAAGAAGGGCGGGAGGCTAGAAGGAAGGAGGAAAGGGGCTACCACCAACTCCAAGCCAGAGCAAGGAGTCGTTGTCTGTGATCCCTCTTGAGACATCTCGAGAAATGCTGGAAGCTAAAATTCCGCTTAAAATTTTCTTGAGATAACACTTGGACAAAATACATATTCAAACTCCCCTTCAATCATTAAAATTTTAAGAGTAAAAATAGGATTAAAAGTCATATACATGAACAACTTTGGCTATTTATCAAAAGCGACCAACAAATTAAGTGCAATGGGTGTTCCAAGTAGGGAAAGATGGTATGATTTAGCAAATTAACACGTGAACAAAATGTTTAAGTTGAGTGACCCAATTAAGGTACATACCGAATTAGTGACCAACTAAGAGAACATGAGATGAGTAGACTTCCTTACCAAAAGGAGAAGGAAACCATGTTGATCGTGGATGATTATGATTTGATTGGTTTATACACAATTTTTCTCACCCAATGCTCTTTCTTTTCTTTTCCTTTTTTTTTTCTTTTTTCTTTCTAGTTATTGAATTAAACAATGACACACCCCAACTCGAGTTTAGTAGGCTTTAGAATCCTTGATGTCGAGGTGTGGAGGCATAATATTCCCTCATTAGTATAGGGGTTATTCATAATTTTGTAATTAGCATTTTTTGTTGTGGACCTTGTGGTACATTGTGTACTTTCACTGTAGATATTTAGTTGCTCTAATTTCTCGTACATATATTTACTAAAAGTTCATCACACTCATTGAACACTCTACTTTATTTTATACTATTTTTTAATTTATTCATACTTTTTACACATCATCTTCACATTATGATTTCGTCATCTTCAGAATTGGCTGACACACCTTAATTCTAGAGTCCACCATGTCATCGCGGTCGGGATGTGTCATAGAACTTTGTTCCCATCCACAAAAGTTAAAGTAATTTTGGTTGTTTGTGGTAACGGTGGACTTGTGTGAACCAGGAACCAGTGCATCACCTCTCTATGATTTGATTAGGGTTTGCAAAATAGGGACCCCAAGTGAAGCAGACACATGGTCTTTGGACCTGGGAGCTCAAGGTGCGTGACGTATCATGTGGCTGAGTATGTGGCCACTCATTGAAGCTAATACATTGAGAGCGAATGGACCATAGATTTTTCCAGATATTTAGACGGCCAAGTTCCAACCCCACCACATTTTGCTTTCCACGCGACTTTGTTTCTTAATTTTGAGAATTTTTTTTTAATAGTCCAGAGAAACAACGGTTTAATTTTGTATTTAGAAATAAAAATAAAATTTCGCAAGGATTAGGTCTTGCATGTAACTTATACTTCTTTTTTTGTTGGAATTGGCATATGAAATGAAGTATGATGTTTACATTATTAAGTGTACTTATATCTCTTATATCAAATGAAGTGTTTTTCTTCCTTTCTATTAAGTGTCTTTGCCTACTGCATATTTTTCAAAAACTCTGAGGTTGGTGTAGATATCTAAAGAGAAAAGAAGGCAAAATCTCAAGTGCACGAATCGGCTATTGTTTTTTGCTTAAGAGATCGTTAAACGTAACTTGACTATTATCACGTTGAAAATTTTCTTAAACGAAAATTAAATGGAAAGAAAACATATATATATATATATTATATAAGGATAATCACTGGGGTGTGTGAGAAATGTTTGAGTCCATAGAGAAGTTTGATAGGTTTTATCAAGAAGAAGAATGTGCTTGATGAACACAAAGATGCCATGAATTATATTAGAAAGAGATGAAAATTAAAAATAGAGGAGATGACTGTACAGAGAAAGAAAAAAATTGATTAAGTAAAAGGCCAATTTTGAAAAATTTTAAAAATTATTTTAGGTCTCCAAAGAAAGTGAAGAAAAATTTGAGTGTCCAAATTATATGGGTGTTCAAAAACAAAAGTTAGGTGTAAACAGAATTTTTTCCAAAATTCTTACGTGCAACTACTTGTATACGCTTGCGGATCCCCGGACTCTGAATCCAAGCCTGTCGTATATCAAATAATAACTTTTTATATCTTGCTCGAATTAAGCATGTTACTAGCTTCGATTAATGCAGTGAGAATCTTAAAACTAGAGGATATGGTATATATACCAGATGCAGAGATGCAGACGTAGAAACCCAGCAAAAGATATAGGCTATCTAGACTATACCTTCCACCATGTGACACTAACCCTTAACTTAATCAAATTATTTAAGAAATACAAGAAACAATAAAAATACCGTTCACACTATGACCATGATGCATCCCTACCACAAGAAATTTTTTTATTTGTCTAATAGCTGACGGGACCACATATGAGGACGGGAGAAAATGCAATGTAGGGGGCTTGTTTATGCGCGTGGAACTGCATGGGCATGTGATCCGACGAGTAGGCCTTCAAAAAGTTACCTTGTTACAAATAGAGAATCTTGAGCACGGGCTTTTTTTATGTGTGTGTAATTGTATGAGCACATGATCTGACGGGTAGACTTTTAAAAAAAGTAGAATTTGCCTTGTCGAAGAGAAAGGCTCTTGAGTACGGGCTTTTTTTATTTTATGTGTGTGTAACTGCATGGCCACGTGATCCGACGGATAGACCAAAAAAAAGTTAGAATTTGCCTTGTCGCAAGGAGAGACTCTTGAGTACGGACTTTTTTTTATGTGTGTGTAACTGCATGGCCACATGATTCGAAGAGTAGACACTATAAAAGTTAGAATTTGCCTTGTTGCAAAGAAAGACTCTTGAGTACGGGCAACAACTCCTCACAATGAGTGTGAAACTTCGTATCACATGGTCAACTCTCATTGTGAGGAGCTGCCCTACGGGTCAAGAATTTCTTCATTGTTGAATTTCTCCATGGTTGAAGTCATATATTGTACCTAACGAAAATCCGAACTGAAGCCTTCTTCTAGTGTCTCACTTGACATGGTCTGAAATAACGCGTGGAGATCGCAGAAATGAAGAAAATGTGGCTGTGGGGGATATGGAGACCTACCATCGACGACGACCCACAAGAAACTAGAGTTGTGCCAAAAATGTGTTCATCAAGCCAACGACTCAGAATTAATGTGGGTTCCTTCACGGAAGGAACAAACACTATGATTGCAGATACTTTTCATAAACCATTAAACTTTCAAAATGTGCTGGAAGCAATTACGGTGTCGTTTGGCAGCGAAAGATTACTGATAACACAGTTCTTAGGTCTCGTTTGGTTTTAAAATAATTGAAACCATTTTAGGTGAAAATATTTTTAAAATTAATATCTTGTAAAAATTCAAGTGAATTTTAGAAAAACATTTTAAGTTTTGTAAACCAAAAATTAATTTCACAAAAAGCAAGTTCAGCCATTTCAAAAATACTTACAAACAAACTCTTAAACTTCTAGTATTTGGTTACATGATGATGATGTAAAGAAAATTAAAATTTAATTAATTTTCTCTTGCAGCCGAAATTTGCACATGATTTTGATGACCGTAGACTGAACTTCTTGCGTCTTGACTCTTGACTAGTTGCGTTGACTCAGTTCCTTCGTTGTAAGTTCTTCTTCCCTTTCCAACCTTCAATTATTCAGTATAAATTGCGGTCCCCCAAGGACTCTTCACTTCACCAAGACACTTTCAACGTCTCTCTTCCTCTTAATTACTTCTACCATAATATAATCTCGTTTTATTTTCTTAATTTCTTGGATTCTGCTGAGATATTTGAAGTGTTTGATTCAACTTCTTGCTCTCAGATCACTCAAGCTCCACAGAAAAATGAAGGTAATTAGGTTTCTCTTTCTGCAGACAAGTTTTTTTTTGTGATTTTTTTACATAAAAGATATGCTTGCATGAGTGATGATGCTACTTTTGGGTAAACCCAAAACTTACTTTTGGAAAATCTTGGCTACCCTTCACTTTTTATATTTATATTAATTTATCACTTGGTTCTGATTTTGATCGTTGCTTATTTTTTCTGACAGAAAGTAGTGTTGAAATTGGAATTATACGACGAGAAGTGTAAGAAGAAAGTCATGAGGGCCGTCTCGGGGCTTGAAGGTATAAATTCCATGGCCATATTACTCTCTTTTACTCCGATTACAGTAGTTTCGAATTAGCAGACCCAAGCGTAGCCAAGTCAGTAAGAGCACTCAAGTTCGAATCCTCATCTATTGAGTAACGAACTAATTTAATTGTGTTCCTGGAATTTTCTGTTTGCAGGCCTTGATTCAATTTCTATGGATATGAAGGACAAGAAGTTGACGGCCACAGGGGACATAGATCCCGTGCATTTGGTGGGAAGATTGAGGAAGCTTTGCCGGACGGAGATAGTCTCAGTCGGACCGGCAAAGGAGGAGAAGAAGAAAGAGGAGCCGAAGAAGGAGGAGCCGAAGAAGAAAGATCCAAAGGACGAAATGCTTGAGCTTATGAAGGCCTACCCAGCACTTTATCCTCCAATGCCTGCGTATTATTACGTAAGAAGTTCAGAAGAGGATCCCAATGCTTGTGTCATTTGCTAAATGGTTGGCAAAATTCAGTTGATACGGTGTTTTTTCAAGGAGAGAAATCATATGTACAGTGGTTGAAATTGGGATAAAATTTTGGTTAAAATATTGTGGTTGGTCTTGAATTTTCCATGATCCAGAAGTCTTTGAGGTATTTTTGATGTATTACTTTGTATTTCTTTTATATAGTATTTACTCGAATAATCAGTGAATGAAAATCAGCTGTCTTAGCAATTTCATTAATATTTATATGCTATCATTTTTTACTGCACTATTCTCATTTTAATCCCTCGTTATACTTGATTATAAACTTGAAAATTTTTCATGTCCTTTTTGATAGATCTCAATGAATACATAAAAGTTGAGTATTATGATCGGTAAACAAAAATTTTAAATTGAATGATGTTTTACACGAATAAGCTGATAACTTGTGACCGCAACAATTAATTGTGGAAAGGATGAGGAAGAGAAAGAATGCAATCCGATGTCTATCTCAACTATGAATCTTAACTTTAACTCAATTCAATCAGAACAATAATTTCTCAACTAAAAGTTCTTAAGCATTGATCGTTTAATTCATCAAAACATGTAGTTATAATCATTTTCGTCAACTTCGTCAGATTTTCATAAAAAATAATTATGATGAAAGAATCATTACGGCACTTGAGTTGTACTTGAGTAACCTTTGTTTTAACTTTTAATTGGGGTTAAGGACCTACCAAGAACGATGACCCACGAGAAATTAGAATCGTTCCAAAGAACTGTTCAGCAAATGCCAACGACTCAGAATTAACATTGGCTTCTTCCCGGAAGGAGGAAACAAACAGTACGATTGCAAATACTTTTCAAAAACCATTGAAATTTTCATAAAATGTTCGAAGCCATTACGGTGTCTTTTGGCAGTGGGAGATGATAACAATGTTTCTTATATCTCGTTTAGAAATGATTTTAAAATGATTGAAAATGTTTTAAGTAAAAATATTTTTGAAACCAATCTCTTGTAAAAATTCAAGTAGATCCTAAAAAAATACTTTAAGTGTTTCCTGCAAGAAATACATGTCTAGTATTTCTTCCAAAAAACACTTAAAAGTGCTCTTGAAACTCAAAATGAATTTCACAAAAAGCGGTTTCACTTATTTCAAAAGTATTTTCAAACAAACCCTTAAACTTCTAGTATTTGATTACATGATGATGTAAGGAATATTAAAATTTAATTAATTTTCTCTTGCAGCCAAAATTAGCACATGATTTTGTTGATTGTAGAATGAACTTCTTGCGTCTTGACTCTTGACTAGTTGCGTTGACTCAGTTCCTTCTTTGTAAGTTCTTCTTCCCTTTCCTACCTTCAATTATTCAGTATAAATTGCTGTATTGAAGAAAGATGGACCTCCTTGCCCTCCATAAACTTTTTTAGTTCTCCCCGCAGTGGAGGGAGCGACGCCTTGCTCTTGGTGCAGCGTCTGTTGGTTATTTACCCTCCTCTTTTGTTTTATGTTTGTGGTTCCCCGTGTTGCCCCTCTTTGTAGGCTTCCTGTATCTTTGGCTTTGGCCCTGATTATGCTATATTTCCAATCTTTCAAAAAAAAAAAAAAAATTGCAGTCCCCCAAGGACTCTTCACTTCACCAAGACACTTTCAACGTCTCTCTTCCTCTTAATTACTTCTACCATAATATAATCTCCTTTTATTTTCTTAATTTCTTGAGTACGAGCTCTTTTTATGTGTGCGTAATTGCATGAGCACGTGATCTGACAAGTAGATTCTAAAAAAGTTAGAATTTGCTTTGTCCCAAAGAGAGACTCTTGAGTACAGGCAACAACCGCTAACAGTCAGTGTGGAACTATGTATCACAAAGTCGACTCTCATTGTGAGAAGCTGCCCTACAGGTCAGTTTTCGTATCCAAGAATTTTCCCATGGTTGAAGTCATATATTGTACCAAACCAAAGTTCCAACCCAAGCCTTTTTCTACAGTGTCTCCCTTGACATGGTCTGAAATAACGCGTAGAGATCGTAGAAATAAAGAAAAGGTGGCTGTGGGGGATATGGAGACCTGCCAACTTCGACGACCCACCAGAAACTAGAAACGTACCAAAAAACTGTTCATCAAGCCAACGACTTGGAATTAATGTTGGTTCCAACAAACACTATAATTGCAGATACTTTTCAAAAACCATTGAACTTTTCCAAAAGTGTTTGAAGCCATTACGATGTCGTTTGGCAACGGGAGATTACTGATAACACAGTTCTTAGGTTTTGTTTGGAAGTGGTTTTAAGAATGATTAAAACTGTTTTAGATGAAAATGTTTTTGAAATCAATTTCTTGTAAAAATCCAAGTAGATCCTAAAAAAAACACTTTAAGAAAAATTAATTTCACAAAAAAACAAGTTCAATCATTTCAAAAACACTTCCAAACGAGTTCTGAAGCTTCTAATATTTGGTTACATGATGATGTAAATAATATTAAATTTAATTAATTTTCACTTGGTCCTGATTGTGAGAGGACAAAGAGAGACTATTGAGTCTTGCGTACGGACTCTTTTTAAATGTGTAACTGCATGGTCACGTGATCCGACAGATAAACTTCAAAAGAAACTAAAATATGTCTGATCACAAAGAGAGACTCTTGAGTACGGGCAACAACGACTCACAATAAAGGTCAAACTACATATCACACAATCGACTCTAATTGTGAAAAGTTGCGCTACGGTTCAATTATTCGTATTCAAGAATTTCTCCATTGTTGAACTCCTCCATGCTTGGAGTCATATATAGTGACAATATTGTACCAAACCAAAGTCCCAACTCAAGTCTCCCTCTACTTTTCTCACTTGACATAATCTGAAATAACGCGTGGAGATCGTAGAGATAAAGAAAAGGTGTGTGGGGATGCGGAAGACCCACCAACAACGATGACCCATGAGAAATTAGAACCGTTCCAAAAAATTGTTCATGCAAAGCCAACGACTCAGAATTCCCGAAGGAGGAAACAAACACTATGATTGCACGTACTTTTCAAAGGAAAGGGATTCGGAGAAGAGGATCATTTTCCCTTTTCAAAAGCCATTAAACTTTTCAAAAAGTGTTTGAAGCCATTACGGTGTGGTTTGGCAATGAGAGATTATTAATAACACCGTTTCTTAGGTCTTATTTGGAAATACTTTTAAAATAACTGAAAACGCTTTAGGTAGAAATGTTTTTGAAACCAACCTTTTGTAAAAATCAAAGTGAATATGTTTGGATCCAAAATTACACCATCGGCCCGAGTAGTCAAGGAGAAAAACTTGTGTGGGGTTTGACTTATTACTGGACTTTGCTGAGAGACACTACTATCCACTAAAAAATCGTCACGTGACAAGTCTTAACTATAATTTTTTTGCCCATTCTTTTATATTTAGGATTCTCATAATTATATTTCTCACTAATTAATATACCTCAATCTAATGGATATTTTTTTGTTTTCTTTCTTTTTAAAGAAATGGGTCAACTGGTGGTAAGTCACGGTTATCCATCCCAAATATTCCCTCCAATTTATGTTGCAGGACTCTTTCACTTTCTTCTCTCTCCCACTTCTTTGTCTCTCCGACTTTTTTCTCTCACTGTTCTTCAAAAAAAATTCTATACCCTAAACAAAATCACTTTCTCCAACTTTTGTCATGGAAAGCTATCAAGAATCTTTAAGTTTTTTTGTTATTTATACAATACTTGATTTGATCATGTGAATCAATGTTAATCTAATTTTTTATTTGTTTTCGTTAACATGTTAATCTAATATTAGGGCTCAAATGTTAATCAATGTTATGGTTAATATGTTAATACAAATTACCCACATATTTATACAATAGTTTTTTCCGTTCTTTACTATGAGTATTTTATTAATGTGGTAGTCTTTTTTTTTTTTTTCATTCAATTGGTAGGTTGCTGCTGAGACAATGAAGTTTTAAGAAGATGTAAAAATTAGAATGATGGTGAATTATGATGCTAAAGCCTTTCAAGTACGCAATGCTTATGCTATGAGGAAAGAGTCTTCGTAAGAGCATATTCGAAGAGATAAATAAAATAATATTACACAATGAGATTGTTTGGGAAGTTAAAGAAGGCAGCATGCCCTGCAACATAAACTGGAGGGAATATTTGGGAAAAGGTGGGGGGGGGGACTAACAAAATATAAGCCATTAAATTGATGCATATTAATTAGTGAAAAAAATAATTATGAGAATTTTAAATATAAAAGAATGAGAAAAAAAATTATATTTAAGACTTGTCACGTGATGATTTTTTAGTGGATTGTAGTGTCACTCAGCAAAGTTCAGTGGCATGCCAAGCCCTACACAAGTTTTTCTTGTAATGAGATCGAGGCCTTTGAATGAGCAAAATTTTAGACCGTTAAATGATAAAATGGTTGAAATGATCTTTAGTTATTATTGAGAAATAATATTGTGGTTTTAATCATGACATTATCTCTTAGTAGTATATTAAATTATTTAAACCTAATATTTGTCTAAATCCCATTTGAATGATGATGGAATATGGGGATATGCACGACATCAGATAATGAAGCATGCATGATGGGATGATTATCATATACGTACAAATGGTATATGCTTTTTGATGTTGGCCACGTGGAATGCATCAGTCGGAGATTATATTGGATGGATTTGATAAAGGACTATGATTCTCTCCTCTCATCTTTCCATTCTCTTCCATCCCCTCCTATCACATTCTCTTATTTTGTCTTTCTCTTGCTATAAAAAATTTATATAAGATGTTGACGTGGCTTAACCGTGACCGTTCAATTAGGAGGGGAGGGAAGGTGAGAAAAAAAGAGAGGGGAAAGAATCCTACTCGTTTGATAAATGTGCTATGGATAAAACATTATGCATGGGATAAAGGCTACTGATGGAGTTTTGATGATGAGGTAAGAAGCCTAGGTGGGCTAGACTTCTAATGTGATGTAATAAGCTTATATAGGCTTTTATTTTGTTTGAAAAGTTAAGCATCCGGAAGATAGGCTTTAGCCTATTCCACGGATCAGTCTTTCATTCTACGAGTTTGAGTTTCAGTTGGTTTCTACGAAGTTTTCAGGCTGTGCCAAGCAAAAAGTATGGATGCTATAAATACAGAGTCATAGGCAACATTTAAGGTCCCTCCAATTCAACGTATAAATTACTCTACACAAACCTCTTAATCACCTTGAGATTTTTATTTTCTTTTTCCGCCAACACATCTTCAGTTTGGATAAACAACACTGTGAAGGCAACCAACGACATCAT